TTTTTTCTGTTTTGAATACTTCTTACATTCTGCTGCTTAAAATATATTCCAGGTTCGTCTTTCGTATTTGCAGCTCTTCTCCCGTCTCTGGCCATTTCTCCAAGGACTTTGGAGCCTGGTTTCTTTTTCATTAAATAATGGCGTTTAAAAAATGGATTAGTGTTTTTAGTTAGTAAAACACTACTAATCATTTCCTTTCAAAATTCAGGACAATAGTTGTCGCTCAGCAGGCCAAAGCAGTTAGGGAGGAGGCAACAAGGATCGGATAGCAGAAAAAGTGCATCAGAAAAATATATGATGGGGCTCCTGAGTGGCTCAGTCACTTGAGAGTCCAACTCTTGACTTCAGCTCCGGTCATGATCCCATGATCCCAGGGTGGTGGAATCAAGCCCTGCACTGAGCATGGAGCCTACTTGGGATTCTCTCTCTCCCTCTGATCCTCTCCCTTGCTCGTGCTCTCTCTCTCTCTCTAAAATAAATTAAAAAAAAAAAAAAGGAAAATACATTATTTTATGGAAATTAAGCACTCTGCTTTTTTTAAATCTTAAATTTAAAACTATTGATTTTAGGCACTTCCAAGGAAATGACTCAAACTTCATATACCTCATAAAAAATATGAGTCTTTCCATCTCACCCGGATACATTTGATTTCTGTAATAAAACCATGATACCCATCCTGCAGTGATGGTGAGGAATAGTTGAACTTCATTATTGACTTTTTTTTATTCGGTTCAGAGGTACATGTAAAAAAACCTCCAACAATAGAACAACATAAATTTATAATTTTGTATTAGTGCAGATTTTGGAAGATGAATTACTGCTTAGTGTTACTTCGGAGCATTTTTGTCCCCCAAAAAGTTTTTCTCATGGTAGTGATCCATTTTTATTGAAAACCTTCAATTCCGTATGATTTAATTTAATTGAATCACAGAAATAAGGTTAGGGTTCTAGGAAGTACCTTTTTAGAATTCCTTTATTGACAGATGTTAGTCTGAATTTCCCAGACTTCAATTTTCACATAATATGCATATACAATTTCAGAGCATTTTCACATTTCCCTTTAATCATAACTTACTAACGTCCCAGCTCTAATAGAGTCAAATGCATTTGATAGGAAAACTCAAAATAAAAATGATATTCATTAGCAAACATTAACTACATAGCATCAAAGTAGTGGTAGATTGTTATCTAGAGGATATTTACGTTTGACTACCTCTCAATGAATTATATCTTAAAGAGGGGGTAGTAAATGTTAAAATTACAGCCACCAAACAAAAGGTAAACCGAAACAGGAATAATTTAGCTTTATGTACAGGAACATTCTCCAAGTATGGAGTCAGCTCGGTTGATTTTAACATTTGTTGAGCAATTACTATACTGCAGAAATTGTACAAGACCATGGACATAAGGAGGTAAATGCGATACGACACCTTCTCCACTAAGCTTATAATGTTAGAAGGTAAGACAATGCTGTTTTATGAAGTGTGCGTTCAGTGTGGCAAAACTGAAACAGGAGTGTATTTTGTTAAATTAGGTTTAATTAAGTGATTTAATTTTCTCAGCAAGATTAGCTAAATATTCTTAATACCAAGCCAGAGACTATGTTATTTTTAAAATCTTCTTCCGCCAAAGCTCTCGGTTAATGTGCTCCAGTAAAATACCCTCGATACATTTTAACGATCTGCCTATACAGGATGAAAACCTCTTCTTTCTTCTAATCCACCCAATTCTTTTACCGCCTCAAAATTGTAATTTAAGAACAATTACATATCATGTTGTTTAAGCTCATGTTTCCAGATATCAAACAGATTCACGTTTTGTACCTAATGCTGGGTATATAAACTAATATAAGCTAAGGTCCTATGTTAGTACGACCCTGATTAACATACTTAACCCTACACTTGTCTTTCACATCTGAAAAATGGAGAGAACACAGGACCTACCTGATGGAATTATTATAAAGATAAATAATTATATTTTAGGGTTAGAGTCAACTATACCACTGAACAGTAATTAGGCCAAATGACTTATTCTAAACTTCCTAATTATTTTAGGATTAAACATCAAGCTCTAACAATGGACCCATTTATAGGAAGTAATGCATAAATAAGTCCATTTTTTTTCTTTTTTCCTCCTCCTACATTTGTTGAAAGAATGAGAAAGTAACACTATGGAACAGTCAGAGACGATGGAAAATTGTCTATTTTTAGAGGCTTACACTTGACCGTGGCATGAAAATGCCATGTGTGGTACAATGCTATTGCAGGATCCAACCTAGAGTTCAGGTGTCCACGTTCCCTCACAAGTATTTCTTTCAGCTACACCCGAATGCCTGCTTTAATTGTTTTTGGAATACCTGCGTTAACTGTCTCTTTGAAAATCGTATACTGAGCTTTCTGGTCATCCCTATATAATTGTTCGCACTCTGCAAAATCGTTCTCGCCAGATTTAGAACTCACATTATATATATTTTTTAAAGCAATAAAGATGCAACAGTGGGCCCTTGTTCCCGTTCCTGACACTGCGTCAACCAATATCTCACAATTTACTCACACCTGCATTTGACGGGCAACCCTCTTCATGTTTTCCTCGAACGTAAAGGGAACCTGTAGCTACCTAAAAGCACCAACACAGGGCTCAATATGTATAAATTTGTGTATTGATATAAAAGGAAGGAGCTACACTATAGGTTCCTCTGCTCTCATTGTTTGAACTCATATTCACAATTCAAGCCAAACAGTTTCTCTTCAAAGTTAATGCACTCAAGTGGATGCCTGAAAAAAGAAGACGGTGACAGCTGTCATAAATCTTACAATAGTCTATGAGATTTTTGGCAATGTGTGCGTCCAAATAAAGGGTTTTTGTTTTATGTTAAAGGCTTTGTTTATAGGTTGATAAATGGCATATGCATGTGTATCAAAGCCCATTTTTGTGTCGCTCTTATGCAAAATTAGCTTTTGGGAAAGACGAACAGATAGCTGTGTTGTCACAAAGTTTTAAATAAACATAATTTATGCTTGTATGCTTCTGCTCTCCTCAGAAATAGAGCAGGAATCTCTCTTACCCTTCATATCCAAAAGGGTAACATAGCACCACAAATGTGGCAGAGATTCAATAACTATACAGGGAACATATGAATGAATGAGTGAATGAATGAACGAGTGAGTGAATGAATGAATAATGATTAATTCTTTACCTTAAGGGCAGGATCCAAGCATGATCTTGCTGCCAATGTTCAGACATTCAAATTTTTGCTTGGGCTAACGATAGACTTGTCAATAGAGCACTGAATGTCAATGTGTGGGGAATTCCTTTCCCAGTAGAAAAGGAGTCTACGGTTCAAACTGTACAGTGAATTCAGAAGGGGAATTGTTAGCAAGCTCCTCTGGAGCTTTCTTGGAGTAATCTGAAACAGTCTTCGTGCATGGAGGGGAGGAACAGAAGGAGGAGAGAAGGAGGACTCTCCAGGTTGTTAAGTGGCAGGTGTAATGGGCAAGGGAAGGTAAGTATGAAGCTGGTCTTGGGTGGACACAAGACCAATAGATTCTTGTACCCACCAGCCACAATCTTAAAAGTGTATGGAGAACCTTTGCAGATTCAGTCATGTATACTACCCAGATGGTCTCAACACCTCATTTGATCTCAAGGCTGCATCCCTGGGACAGTATCTGGGAGCTGGGAAGGCAAGCAGACAGTATGTTCCAAGGACGGGGAAGGGGTGGAGAGCCTCATTGCTGGGGTTCAGCTGGCAGGTCATCAGACGACCTCACAGCTTGTGATGACCTCCCTTAAAAGAATTTAACACCTGGCCATCTGTAACTTTAGTTCCTGCCTCTCCTTATAAGCCCTACCCTTGTTTTGCTTGCTAATTTGTTTTAGTTTCTGACTTGATCTGATCCATTACTTAATATACCCTCAGGATGTCCAGGCTTCTAATAACCTCCCCCTGTTCATGCAACTACCTTCTGCAGATCTAGTTCACTTTCCAGTTTCACTCACATCATCTCCTAAAGCTCCACCTGAGAGTGAGCACGGCAGCTTCTTAACATACTTGTCATTCTCCCACTCTTAACCTTTCTCTGGTTACAATACAAACTTTATCACTTTGATTTTTGCTAGATTCTCTTAGATGTAGTCCTTTAGGTTGATCCTTGAGAGATCCACATTACCTATAATTTAAAGTGAGTTTAATCGCCAAAGATGTTTTAGTTCTTTCTGGCAAAGTTCAATTAGCAAACAACATAGAAAGTTCAGGTTAGGGTTAGGAGTTAGAGTTAACCAAGCAAAGATGAGAAGTTCTCAGCATGGGAGTGGATACAATAAAGGCTCATGGAATTTGTGTTGAAAAGTAAAGATACCAAAAAAAAAAAAAAAAAAGTGAAGATATCAAATGCATGCCGTCATGCAAAATGAGATAGCCCCAATGGTGGTGGGTCTTAGTTAGGTTCAAGTGTTGTAACAGATGGAAATACAGCAGAAGGAGAGCGAGAGAGCAGGGAATCTGAAACTGGAATTATGGAGGCATTGAAGTTACAGGTGACAAAGAGCTCTAGTACATGACAATGAGAATTAGCGGCTGATAATAAGACACACAATAAGGTAATTAGAAGAGAAATTCAAAGATCTAAGAAGCTAGATTATTTCAAAGATCATCAATAAGGACATTGATACCATAAGGAACTGTGACATTAAGAGTGTTATTCATTAGATTCAAATGATCATAAATAAAGAGGAGTGACCCATGGCATAGTAGGAGAGAGAACTGAAGAATTTATTGATTGGCAGCAAAATCTGAAAATCAGATGTTCAGGTTAAATTAGAAGTAAAGAGATTTTATTTGGGGTCCAGGGCTGTCATACTGTGATTCAAGTCCTACCTCAAATGCTCCAAAGAGGGAGGAATTTTTTATGGAAACACGGATCAGTGTCGCCTAAGGAAAATTTAGTACACGCAGGAGGTTATCTCTGAGCCAAGGCCACCCATTAAAAGAACAGACCTACCTTACAAGGATGGGTCTCCTTTAGTCCATTCCGTAATGACACTCAGTTATTGACTGGAAGCAGCCCTGTGGAAGAACGGCCTCAGTGAAAATGCAACGGTAGATTTCAGAGGGCAGTAGCAGAGCCACAGTCTCGATATTTGGAGGTCTTTGAGGCACATTCTCATGGCCACCACAGATGACTCGTTATTACACGCAGAGTGCCCTCACCACACAGGTTCAGAAAACACCTTCTCCATAGTCCCTGGCCCCTGGTTGGTGAGGGAACCCTGAGCAGAGAGAACTTAGTCCAAACTACAGAACCTTTGCTTCCAGTGATCATGGGGTTGGTTTCTATCATCTCCTCCTTCTGCATTCTCCCTTCTAAGTTCCCCTTTCCTACAACTGTCAGCTCAGCAGGCCTGGTGGCTTGCCCGGTGGGATGTTCAAACCCTCCATTCATGAGGCATCTGAGTTCTCGATGACCTTGCTATTTTCAGCCTCGTGTGGCTATATGGGAAGGTTCATTACCAGCATGAGGGCATGGGAGCACACGATATTACCCAGATTGAAGACTCAGGCTCTGTTTATCTCTCATTGCTCCTATTATTTGTAAGAAACCCTACCTCCAGCTGCTGGTCATGGTGAGTTACCCCAGCCAGCCTGGTAATCTCTGGGCATTGGGAGTCAAGAGTCTCCTGGCAGCAGCCGTAATCTTTGAGACCCTTCCTGTAGCACTAGCCAGAATGCGCCCCTTTTGGGAACAGGATCTCAAACCCTACACGGCCCACTGTGCAGGACCTCACGTATCCATTTCCAGGAGCCAGATTTCAGTGAACGCCATTCATCTTGCGGGTGAAAAATGTCTGTGAGGAAAATGAATGCTAACAGCCAAACTGTTAGCCACTGGCCCAACCTGTACCTGTCTTTATATTGAATCATTTTTCATGACACTCTCTACGACAGCATTATTTAAAATAATTATGATCAGTAACTGTAATAACTGTCTCCCAAGGAACGATCTCCTTAGTATTTTACCTTAAGGAGAACTCAAGCACATCTTTTTTCTTTAATTTTCTGAGGTCTCTTTTTATAAGGACATGAATCTCATCATAAGGTCTCCACCCTAATTACCTTCCAAAAACCCCATCTCCAAGTATTATCACATTGGGGATAGGATTTCAACGCACGGATTTTAGGGAGACACAAACATTCAGTCCACAATGCATGTCCTTCAATCCCCAAGTCCCACAGGGCAATGTGTCAAATGTCACTGAACATGCACTCACATGGTGGGCTGTGGTAAGGAGAAGAAATATGAATGTAAGAAACCCCAATCTGTTAGAAGAGGGCTGTCCTCAAAACTACCCAAACTGTGTTGGAAGGAGACAATATGTGTGTGTGTGTGTGTGTGTGTGTGTGTGTGTATAAGTATATATATATATATATATATATATATATATATATATATATATATATTTGAAAGAAAGTGGGTGTGAGCAGAGGAGAGGGGCAGAGGGAGAAAGAGAGAATCTTAAGCAGGCTCCACACTCAGCCTGGAGCAAAATACAGTGCTTGATCCCACAATCCCGAAATCATGAACTGAGCTGAAATCAAGAGTCAGATGCACAACCACCTGAGCCCCCCATGTGCCCAGAAGGAGACAATATTTTTACTATCTTGGATAAAGTGTCCCACAGGAAAGGATACTATCTTCCAGGACGATTTGTTGCACAGACATATTTGAAAGGATGGCACGGAACAAAAGCTGTCAAAGGCTCTGTTCAGAAAATACGCACAAATGTAAGAGACACAGAGTTTTCTCTTAACAGCAAGATGCTCAATTAACCAAGAGAAACCAGCAAAAGAAGAAAGTGGAAACAAGGCACAAGTGGTAAAATACACAATAAGTAAGGTGGAAGATTGAATATGGTGTCTATGAGAAACATGCTGCAAATATAGAGATAGATTACAGTCCGTGGAGGGCAAAGCGAACACACCAACACTGACTTTAAGAAAGTTGGAGTCGTTGCATTACTATTTGACAAAATAGACTTCAGAACAAACAATGTTATTAGTAATAAAGGCAGATATTTTATAATGAGAAAGCTAGCGACTCTCAAAGAAGACATAAGAAGCCCAGCTATGCATCGAACAACAGAGATTTGAAGCACTTAAACCAAATACTAGGATAATTGAACTGAAAGGAGAAATAAGAAATCCACAGCTCCAATTATAATTTCCAATATGTGGGTCTCGATAATCGATAGAGCAATTAGGCCAAATATGTGTAAGTATGTAATGACCTATAAACAGCATCAGCAAACTTGCCAAAAGGGTCATTTAAATGAGTCAGTCAATAACAGAAAACACCCATTCTCTCAAGTACGTTGGGAACATGCAAGATAAAACATATTTTGGCCATAAGAAAAAGACAAATTTAAAAGAACAGAAATAATGTTAGTTATATGCTCAAAGCATAAAGGCATTTAACGAAAAATGAATGCTGGTAAGATAGCTGGGAAAGCTCCAAAAATATGGAAATTAAACCAGACACTTTTAAGTAAACTATGGATCAAAGAAGAAGTTTAAAGCAAAGTTATTAAAATATTTGGCCTGGATGAAAATGAAGTATAACATTCAGGGATTACGCTCCTAGGTATTTTCCCAAGATGATAGAAGCAAGTCACGGACTAGTCAAACCTGGATGCCACTCAAAAATCCATCAATGTACACGGCTTTACAGTTATACATTCAATACTACATAACAATAAAAAGAATTAGGTATTTATACAAGATACAACATGAATGAAAGTAAATATGGTGAGAGAAAGAAGCCAAGCAAAGAGTTTCCATACCACATGCTGTGAGTTTTATAAAATTCTAGGAAATAAAATATATTGTATTAGACAGGAAGTAGATCAGTGGTCACCTGGGGCCTGGGGATAGGGGGAGGGTGGAATACTTTTGAGGGTGGGGGGAATGTTCCTTGTTTTCATTTCGTGATGGTGTTGCAAACGTATAGATATGTCAAACTTGAAATATTGTGCTTTCAGTTTATTTTAGGCTATTCAGAGAAGTATTAAAATAAGTAGCTGAATAAACAGGTAAGCAAATAAATAAGTGAATGCATACTTAATAAATTATTGTTTATAATAATAAATTATTTCGTATTTAACATATCTGAAATCAGGGTGGGCTTACAACAGATGACATGGAAGGTGGCCAGTCGTTAAGTCAGTGGCTGTCAGCTCCAAACCCGGTCTTCTCTACCTGGCTGACAGCATCAGAGCTGGGACTTTCTCAACTACACTGTGGCCACACAGCTTGCGTCTGGCTGGACTTTGCCAATACGGCCCCGGAGAGGGACTCCGGGGTTTTGGAGCAAATGTATGCTCTCTACAAAAGATCAATACGTTTTTCTGAAAAACATTGATGGACACCTCTGGACATTAAGTGACTTAAATTTATATCATGAATTATGTTTACCTGACCCACAAAATCATATTACATAGTATAAGAAGGATTCTATTATTAACGGAAATAGTATATAATACATTGGCCTCAAGAACATCTAGAGGTACAAGTAAGTTACGTGACCAGGTTGCTCAATGATTCTTGATGCTTTGTCTCCTCTAAATATTCATCTGTTGACTGAAGAGCCATTCCTTACACACAGTTGATATAGGAGGGAAACAAACAAACAAACAAACAAACAAAAAACTGTGGTGTAATTAAGAGAGAGCTGAGCAAAATATACTGACATTAAAAAAAGAAAAGCTGGACCTTTACAGCATGATTGAACAGTGGTATTGAAAGACAGTGGTTAACGTACATTCTCCAGGTAGGAAGGATTCGGGGTGGTATATTTTCGTGTCTGGTTGTTCTGGACTTAGAAATGAGCGGAAGCGATAATCTACATGGATGTCTCTTAGGTTGTTAATTTTCAGGCTCCGTGTTCTGCGACTTGAAAATAATCAGAATTCATTGGCAACCAAGAAATCTGGCGTCGCCTTAGCGTGGTATCAGCACAACAGAGAGCAGAGAGCATGGTACATCGGCATGCCCAATGAGAGCCAGCCGTGTGAGCCACGTTTGCTGAAAGGTCAGCAAAGGCATCCATTACAGAGGAGGCTCTCAACAACCAGGTTGGCAAGATGCATGTTCTATAGATGTGGAAGCCTCTACCATCAGCCACTTCATTGTTTTTGCTTAAAGAGTCCATGTACTACTCAGTGGCTGTGGTGGTGGAAAGAAAACCATGCATGGGGTCAACAGCAACAACTCTCCCATTGAGGATTATCTGGGTATTTCCAGCACTGAGTCCTTAATCTATCAATAGCTAACACCCATAGAGTTCCAAGGTGACATCATGTTTTGGAGGACAGCAACCAACATATGGCAGTTAATTACACTGGGTCACTTCCATGTTGGTGGAGGTAGGAATTTGTCTTCACTGGGATAGACAGGTATTCTGTATATGGAATTGCTTCCCTTTCCATGATTCTTTCTGCCAGCATCCATCATCCACAGACATGGCGGATGTCTAATGTACAGTCTTGTGCAACATTTTCTTCTGATCAAAGGCCTTACCTCAGAGAAAACAGTGTGTCTTCTCAGACGTGTGTCTCATTCCTGTGAGTACCGTCTTCTAGATTTTAGTAATTTCAATTTCTCCCTATTGTTTCTCAGCTATTTTTTCATCTATCTCTACCTATCTATCATCTATCTATCTGTCTGTCTGTCTATCTCTATCACTCTATGTATCTATCATCTATCTACCTATCTACCATCTATCTTTCTATTTATCTATGTATCTATCTACCTTTCCAATGATAATACAAGTTGTACTTTTTAACACTTCTATGACACCTTAAATTCTCTCTGTTCAAATAACTGCTGTGGTTTCTGTCTTTCCCCAGAACCCTACTGATACATTACACTTTAATTAGTAGCCTTTTTTCTTTAGATGCAAAATATTATGCATCTTCAATTAATGGCAACTTAAGTTTTATGAAATAGAGTACTTAGCATAGTGATGTTAATTCTATTTTGCACTCAATTGCTTACACAAAAACTATGTATTT